ACACACACACACACACAAAACAAAAACACACTTGTGTCCCGCACACTCATACGACCTTATATAGTTGCCGTTAAACTCTCACCCAAACTAAACTAAAGGCCTCAAAAGACCTTCAGTCAGCATAAAATAATACGTTGATTAGTCCTATCGGAGATGGACTTTAGATTTGAAGATACTTCCTTTTGTCTTAATTAACCGCGTAGTGTGGAGAGGGGAGTTGAACCTGAACAACAAACGCATACAGTGCAATACTTTTCCAGTCATGAATTTTAATGCAGGTGGTTGAAAGGCGGCAACGGTGGGTCCTACTTATCTTTGTTCTCACTATTGTTTCTATCTTAAAGTACCCTTGCACTAAATGACCGTTAATGCCTCGGTGCGCCTTTTCTTAACTTCAGCAAAAACAAATGAACAAAAACAGTCATAAATACTCAACACCGCTCCATAAAACATGACAAACTTTTAATTTGACCAGCTCAGCTTTATTACGCGCGGCCATTTTCACCGATCACCTACCAACAATAACAGCAGGTATGCGAGACTGTGAGTTCTGGTCAATTCTGGCCAGCTCTGGTCAGGCTGACCTTCGACTTGGTCAAGCGGTCAATGAGGATGTCCCTAAGCTTACGCCACATGTTGTGTAACGCCAGATCAGCGGGTTGACTAGGCCGAGTGGTGTGGTCAGTCATGAGTGTGGTGGTACCGGATACAGCCACAGTGGTGGTCCGTTAGTGACCAAATAGAGAGCCTCGAGACAGAGAGAGAGAGGGAGAGAGAGAGAGAGAAAGAGAGAGAGAGAGAGAGAGAAAAATAGAGAGAGAGAGAGAGAGAGAGAGAGAGAGAGAGAGAGGGGGAGGGAGAGAGAGCTGAGAGGGGAAAAAAGAGAAAGGGACAGAGAGAGAGGGAGACAGAGAGAGAGAGAGAGAGAGAGAGAGAGAGAGAGAGAGAGAGAGCTAGAGGAGGGGGGGATAGACAGAGAGAAAGACATACCGACAGAGAGGGCCCTACTGAAGGTGAAAAACCCGGGTGTGCGTGGCAGGTTAAGTAATTTCGTAATGGAGAGCTCAAGTTAATACAGTTTATCAACTCTAGAACAAAAACACATGACAACCCCAGTGCCGATTGTTCCATTTTATTTAATTTACCGAGGGGTAGAGCAGTAATGTTCTAGCATTCCTAATGTTATTTCTGTCAGTTATCGAGTGTTAGACGGAATTGAGGGTTGTCATTTTCCATTGGTAGATAATAATATCAAGAACCGTTTCTCACGAGACATTTCAAAATTTCCCCACTGGGATTAATAAAGTGTAATCAGATTTAATGGTGACTTTTTTTACAAGGGTCAATGCTTTTTCGGTATTTTTCTTTTCAAACCAATTCCCATTTGATACCGTCCTTTGGCCTGTTCCATCCGTTTCTGCTGAGCCAACAAGTTGGATGACTGTACATTGCACTTCAGATCAACCACAAATCGCGAGCTGAGAGCTATCTATGTATATTATATTAATGAAAGTTCGTCACTTTGGCCACCTAAAACTCCCGAACCACTTAACTTTCGAATTTGAAAAAAAAAATAATCATGGTTCAGAATCATTTAAAGGGTGCACAGTTTCATTGAGGAGCCTGAAGTCACTGTAGTTTAATATTCAGTTTTTCATTAGTTTCGTTTAGATCTAATCTTCTAAGACGCCATTGAAAACAAGTGAGGTTTCCGTGCACTGGCCATGTGCACTGGTTCCTCAATGACTTGACGATCGATTCTTTTGAGTGCGTTCATCGAAGGAGAACCCAGCTAGTATATATACTAATAATGTCTTGTGCTTTCTCCGATCTCCGACGTTTGATTGGTAGTTTTTGGCGCAGCTGTCGAGACCGTTAAAAAGTCTTTGTTTTGAGCACAAAAGTTATTATGGTTACGGTTAATGCCTGTAGGTGATTCGCGGGTCGGGTGCTCTGGCAGGGCTTGCTCCTTCTTTCCTATCAAACATCTATCGTCCTTTTATCTACACCTTCTTCTTTTTTGTGTTTGTTAGTTACTCTCTTTTAACACCTCTAATCTGTGGCACTTATATGACCTTATCGTGCCGCAATTGCCGTAAAATTGTTAACTAAAACTTTCAGAAATGTTAGTTAATACCTGTGTTCGTAGAAATTTAGTTTCACTTCGTACTAACCTCCGCTTTCGCGTCTGGGAATTCAACGCTTTCAAAAAGTAATTTACGCTGAAACCGGAAAATGAAAAATTAGTGCAAGGTTGTCCTGAGCTCGTAAAAATGCTGCCATAACATTATGGTGACGTCACACGCTCTAAAGCTATACCGAGCGAGAAGAAATTACCCTAGAATCTCGAACTCCGTATGTTAGACAGTAATGGAAAAACATCTCAAAACATCTCGGAACAGACGTAAAACTATCGTTCCTCTGTTGATTGCGGTTTGCAGAGCAGTGTTAAGTGGCGAAATGTTGCCCTTATCGTGCGGAGTCGCTATAAAACCCTTCTCAGCCCGACTCAAAGGAGCTCTAGTGGGATGCTGGGATTTCGATTTCCGCTTGTCGAATGTTGCTGATCGCTGTCGTAAACTACTCGTCGTCCCCCCACCCCCGCCTAAACTCTCTATCCCCCTTCATTCTTTTTCTCCCCTTTCTTTCAGTCGTACGTACACAACATCATACACACGCTAAGGCAATGAGATTAACCTTCACACACAAACCTAAAAATACACAAATACAGAGATACAAGCTTTTAAACACACACAAACATGCTTATACATACACAATATGCAGTCTCTCTCTCTTTTGCTGTTTCTCTCACAAGGGCTGACACACATACACACACATACACACACACGCACGCACACACGCACACATACACGTACGCACAGAAAGACAGACAGTTGCACACACAAACATTCATTCACCCACACACACTCACACACAAACATTCATTCACCCACACACACTCACACACAAACGCACACACTCCCACCCACACACACAAACACACGCACACACTGACTCACACAAACACAAACACACACACACACACACACACACACACA